TCCTCAGTTGTGTTAATGAAGAGAGCAAACTCGAAATACCGATCTTGCGCAGAATTCCGGTGCTTGAATGAACTGGGTTTTCGTGAACTTTATGTATGCAACTATGTTTGGGTTCAAGTAGAGCAAAAGGTTGACGGAACCGTAACGACTGCGCCTACCTACTTAGCTCCAAGCAGGGGTAAACCGGTCGTGGGCTGTCCAAGAGTTTTCAGCAAACTTGTGAGTTGTTCCTTTATGAAAATGTTGTATCCACTTTTGCCCGCCGATTCCTGCCTACACAGGTCCAAACAACCTTTGTGAGTTGTCAATAAAACTCACCCCTTGCGAGCCTGAGCCACGCACCGTGTACGGAGGTGGAGCGGCCGTCATTCATATCAATCACCTGGCACACAAGTCCTATGTGTCCTCAATTTTCACTCATTTACTTTTTATTCCGACATTTCACCAAGAAACCGACCTGTTGAATGTTTTCATGAAAGTGCCCGCTGTGAATTTGGCTCCCTATAAATGCCCTGTCTGAACACACAGTGCTTTATTCAGGTAAGCACCCTGCCCCACAGGCGGTTTCTGGATGCTTGACGAAGGGTCCTCCGGATTGTGCACTTGTTTATCTACATGGAGCGTAATTTCCTCAGAGTGTTTTTCATGATTCAATGTTATCATCAAAAATAGGAAGCATGGATCTTGATTCCGTTTTCTTACGACTAACGAGCAATGTCTCGCCAGGTTTGGGTTTTCAGGTGTAGGATATGATTTCTCGATGATTGTGTTTCCGAAAAAGTGGCAGCAATTGCATTTCAATCGTATTGCGAAACACCCCTCTGGGAATTCACCACTCAGGGTATCTTCAATGATGAACGGAGGTGGATGTGTTCGTGGCTAAACGGTGCGTGTGATCCAATGGCTGGACAGTATACCACAGGTAGTAGGTGAAACGAATTTAGCCTCTTTACAGAGAAGATACCTGCTAAAGTGTACACAACAGTTTTCAATGGTCAAGTTGAAACACCAGCGGCGATGCATGTGCTTGATCAATTTCTGACAAATCAGTAAAATCCAGCGCTTACCCAAATGCAAGATATGCATTGCTAATAGAATATTACTAATCTAGTTCCCAAATGATATGCTTAATGCCGGGACAAGGAGCTTGCCACAAGTTTGCATTCACCTGAAAGCTTGAAATTCAAGCACATGCTATCAACTTCGTTGCACCTCGAGCCCGAAATTCCGGCTCAGTACCGGTGCATTAAATTCCGCTCCACTTGACAACAGTTGTGTCAGGCGAAGTCGCGTCGTTCCAGTTCAGATGATAAAAATGTCTCATGAGTAAATTAAACAACTTATGGCTGGTCTCGGCCCCCAGAAAATTCGGGCGTTTCGGCAGTAGCTCAACTGTCGTTAAGGGATTGCAAATCACTTACAAACTTGTCCCGTACGACGGCCACTTAACCGCTATTTTTACTGCGCGTAAGTGTCACTGACGGAACCGAGAGATTTCTCCATCATCTTGTTCAAGAAATTAACCAGGCCTTGGGTTGCAAGCAAGTAGCTGGATCACGGTTCTCTGCATACAAAGTGATTTTTTCCTTACTCAATCTGAGTGGTTTACAGAGCAAGTTGTCGAACCACTCTCCAAACCAAGCAGACATTTTCTTGTTGGCCGGTCGGACGATATTTCCTCACAGCCATTTTATCGTTGCATTATATTTTTAATTCCAATAAAATATACAAAACGGTGTACTATCATCATACATCAACAGAGATATAAAATCATGGAGGATTTCTTCACAGGGTATGGTGAGAACTCCTGAATAGTCTGGGGGCTGCATCTAAGCAACTGTAAGAGCAGCGCAGTGGGGGTCAGAAATAAAGGAAATGTACGATTACAGTGAGGTGGAATGACGGTCGGATTAGCTACCCAGTCACTCCAACATCGACAAGACTACGACGGCGAGGCATGCCAAGCTCAAGGGTCACGTGGCCATCGGCGAATGAGGACTCGGTATAACAGAGCAACCAATGAAACTGCCGGACCGAACTACTAATCGCGGTCAAAGGTCGTCCCCGACTACCAACACGTATATTAACAACCACAACACCACTGAACGCACAACCACTATCCCTCCGCTACGCACAACTGCGCACTGATGATGTCACCTCGATAGGTTATGAACCTTTTGCATCCAAATTACCCAGCTCAGCGAACAAGCCAACGACCGTCTACGCTACCTGAGCTGAGGAAATTCTCCGCTAAAAAACTCAGTCGCATAGTTATATTTCTCGACAACAAATACATACACAACATGCAATATTGTAACGAACGTTATTATTATTATGACGAAACTTGGCTATCCTCACTCCATTAATATCCTATCCTACAGGCGTTACGATCATCCTTCTGTGAAGTTTACCGCACACAGAATTAACAAGATTATCAGGTGTTTTGGGAGTAGACGAGTTGAGAGTAGATGAATGACTGGAGAATCACGTTCCCGCGACTACAAGAAATTCTCAAGTCAACGACATCTGACTGCTTTAATTTGGTTGCCTAAACTAACACAATATTTTTGAGTTTTTTCACTCACAGGACGCTAGCGCAAAGGCTTGTTTATAAAGTCACGTGAAATTTAGTTATCGCTCAGCTTGAGGGTTCATGTGATTCAACTTGGTTCGACATGCAAGATCATTGGATGTCATCGAGAATTCATTTTTGGGGGTCCGCTGCATGAACCAAAGTCCTGATTGCATTCGCTGTCAATTGATCCGCTGCAGGCCCCAACTTTGCACCGGAACTTAATTAGTGAACCCTTATTCGATGTTGTGGGCAGCAGGCTCAATGTGAAGAACGTGAAAATTTGCCACCAGATCAAATTTATTCAATTAAAGATTGATTGACCTTCCACTGCCACTGTGTTTCACACAGACCATTAAACGTCTGGAATGACACTGGAAAGTCTGCACAAATCGCCGCGATCTATGCAGTGTCAGCAGCTTTCTGGACAGCTTGACAAACTGTTGGAAATACCGTTTTGATTACCTAAAACAGACGGATGATTTTGAGCTTGCACGAAGCTTGTGAATCTTCGTGGCGGATGACTGCTAAAGTCTTCCAGCCTTAGGTTCCAATTTTGACCTGAGGGTGTTTTTCGAAGTTAATTTCGTTAACTCTTTCTGTCCGACTGTCTGAGATCCGCCCACATATCTATGGCTAAATAAAAATATGTCTGTATTTTAGAAATACTTTCGCCCCAAACAAGGCAATTTTAGCTGGTGTACAACCACACCTGTACTTTTCAGACAAAGAACTTTAATTTCTTGCCTCCTCTACAGACTACAGTCGTTGCCACGAGCTGACTACCTGAACAAAATAGACACAGGGTTGTATATCACACGTACCTTCGGAAAGTTTAAAACATGTGAGGTGGGTATACCTATTGCCATTCCATTGTTTTGCAAAGCCCTTGGCACTCACACTGATTTACATTCGGAAAAGCCATGATGCCACGTTCACACGAAGAGCACTGAATCAGGATCAGCTCTCTAAAGTACGAGTATTAAACACATAGCCATATATAAACCGTCTGTTGGTGTGCAAGACATGTCCCTGAGATGATGTACTTCAGACTAGTATTTACAAATGGTCTACTCCTCGGTTTATCGATGCTCACAGAGAGTTTGATCTTCAGAGATTGTGGTAAGCTTCCGAAAATAATTCCCAGCAAACTGGATATGTTGCGGTGAAACTTAATGCTTGATACAAGACGCAGGATTTCACATTGCTACCTGACCTGTTACGCCTCACCTGGGTTTTGTTTAGGGTTTCAGGATGACGCCCGATATTACCGAGCAGACCGATTTTTCAAATGGCTAATGTTGCTGGGCAAAATATTATTTTTCCTCTGATAACGTTGTATTTCTGAGACCCGAGATTTCGGTGAAGGTCGTTCCCCGTAAGACAGGTAGTTCGACGTGTGCGGTAAGAATGTGTTTCTTTCGTAATAACCATTCCAGCGAAATTTCCGGGGAGAAAATTCTCCTTGAAGTTGTTTTCCAAATAAAGGAGAACACGGCTCTTGTGAATTTCGCCTTTTATCAAGGGACGCATGACTGTCTGGCCAGATTATCTGTGACTGACACATGACTGTTCAATGCCAAAGTGGAAGCCTTGGCAAAAATGATACTGTTTTCTTGTCCATGTATCGTCTAGTTGTGATCACGAATTCCGTACTAGCAATCCATGAGGACGGTCGTTTGGTGCATTTCATTCCCCCTCGTCCAGTATAACAGTGTCGCCCTCTGATACCCGTAAATATGTTGGCCTTGGCACCACGAAGGATGACCGAGCCTCATTCTAAATTGTTCCTGTTATTACTCCAAGATCTCTTTTGGATTGCCCCTTTGAAAGACTAGGTCTAGAATGTTATCCGTCACACCTTCAACAATTAATTCTTTCGTCTTTTTTCCGCCCGTCTTGCCTGATTTCGGAAGCAGAGTATTGCCGGAGTCGGATCAGCTGTTATTCCCGGCTGCTTCCTCGACTAAGATGCCAGCTGTACAAACTTACACCGCAGGGGAAGTCGATGACGTCAGGCACTTTTTCCTCTGCTTCTGGCCAATTGACTCCCGGAAATACCTGACCGAGTTGTTCCGGACTGACTATCGAACGCAACAAAATTTCGTGGCGTATCGTCGTTAAATTGAAACCCATTCTTTTGCTGGTACTTTAAAGGAAAACGTTTTTTAGCCCGTGGTGGCTACATTTGCCTGACACTTTTATTTGTAGACTGTGATCTATAAACAACGCTTTTATATTTTGCTGGATTTCGAAATCCAATTCCAGCCCCTGAATCGACCGTGAAAAGAGTGTTCGTAAGGAGGACATTTGCGCTTGCACATGTATATTTCACCTGACTCATTCTACGCTGTGTGGTTGCATTAGACCCTGACTGGCCATTGATGCACCCGTTTTCTTAACCATTCTGTCTCTCCAAATGGCACAGGTTCCACGGACGTTTCTGTGATGAGAGTGACGCTTTCTCCATGCAGTAAGGAACCTTGCGTTATTGTTAGGGGGAAAACAATCCGTGTCGAAATTGAGTTCGTGGCAGGTGAGTATTGATTTGATCCCAGGTGTTCAGTGAACATTTGCTCTCCAATGTTGCAGATAGCGATGCCAACTAACATTCAATCCACGTTGAATATGTCGGGTCTACTGTGGCGCGTTGCTTCACGTAGTTCAAAAAATAGCTGTAATATGTCCAGCAGCTTTTCTGTGAGCGCAGGCAACTAAATTCAGTCTTCCGTGTTCTGTCTTACGCAGTGGAATTTTGCGTTATTTGTGACTCGATGACCATAAGCTTTCTCAGGTGTCCATTTACTGTTACACAATTGTAGCCGAACAATTTTGAGCGCCCCCGATAGTTGTGCAGCATAGTTTACCTTCCACCATGTGAAGGAGCGGAAATTAGATACCAGCATAAAGGCCACTTGCCCACTTCATCAGTAGTATGCACCAGTCCATCTGTAACGGCATGACATTTTGAAATATATTTTCTTCGTTTGCTACCTGAACTTAACATGTTTCTTCTTCATTTTTACTTCCGTACGCGTATTCTTCTGAACAGACAGAGACATCGCTACCGAACTCCCCGAAATCCGGGGTTCATCTGGGCACGGGCCGCAGGTGCTACAATTCCCGGAAGGCGGCATTTGTGCTCACCTGAGTCCATCTTGCCCCATTAAAGCTAGAAAATTCTACGCTCTACTTTACAGGCCCAGAGTGAACTTGCAGAGCAGGCCTGTAAGTTGCAAGCAAACCGTTTTTTCAACACCAAGTTAGGTCTTATACATTGTCAAAGACCCGACGAGAAACCGAAGCTATTCCGCTCACCTAAGTGTAAGATTCTGGGCTATCTACATCGCTGAATGGCTTGTAAACTATATTTGTCCAAAATTTCTGGCATTTGATAGGATTTATGCGTGGAATGCACAGGATTTAACCAGAAAAGGTTGCCTTTTCTGGTTAGAATGGCTTGTGTTTGTGACACTCTCCGCTTTTATTTCCTAATGCGAACCTTAAATTTGAGTGATTGGGTGGCATTCGAAACGGTGGCCCTCATACATAGTGGGTAAAACGTAAAACGTTAGCGCTTAGTCAATCTAAAAGCTACTCCCAGGCCACCGACGCGCATACGTGTCTGTACAATAACCAAGAACGGAAATGGCCTCAGTGAGTTTTTTTAACAGGATATGAAAATGAGCACTAATACTATACTTGTTACGCCTCACTCATTAGGCTCTTTTGTTTATAGTGGGCTACTGCGCTTACGTCAGTTGAATGAGCACAAAATGCTCTCTGCGAGATGCCACCTGCCGAATCGTCTAGTATGGAAATCGTGTTTTTTATCTCAGTATATCCATACAGTAATGAGGGTAGTCCACGCCAGTTTGCGAAGTCCAGAGATGGTCATACGAAATGGCGTCGCAATGTAAATGGAATGTTCCAGGTATCCTGATTTACTATCGGTGGCTTCTGCTTCCTTTCAAAGGTGGAGAGTGTAAGACAGGTCTTCTGAACGACGCTGGTGTTCAACGCACCTCAGGAGCGCTCACACTCACCGCAACGACGATCAAAAGCATCTTTGTTAATGGTTGATATCACAGATCTGGAAATTCCCCACTACAAGCTAAGTCTTCTGGATCCAACCAATTTGAAGAACCGAACGTATATGCCAGTGTGTCAAATGCTACGAGTAATGACTGCGACCCATCCGTGGAAGAGGATGGTAACTTAATTTTGTGCAGAATCTTTTGGATCATGAAGCGGTGCGTGCTGGAGAACTTCAAGAGAGCTCTGGATCGGCACACCACAATCGGGTCACAAGGCATGTTCGCACTATTTTCGCCCAGGTGTAGATTAAAGACCGTTTGAGCCGTAAAGCAAGCTCTCATGTTTTCAAGATTAGTACACAACTCAGCAACGACAACATCGTGGGTGGCTACTTGAGCATCCTACATCATTTTACAAATTTGGTAATGTTGACAGGTTTCCGGGACAACTAAGCTTTTGAACGAAAATCCACAACTTTTCCAACTGACGTCATACGAATGGACCTAGTATTGAAGATTTCGCGTTGCGCTCGATCCTTTTGCATTCGTATAAGAAGCAGTATTGTCGAGCACATCTACCTTCCTCTAGGATTCTAATGTTCAAGCGGTTGGGAATGATCGATGCAGAATTTCCTTCGAGCAGTCTTCATTAGTCCTACAATTTCTTTCATTAGGGCTTCTTTGAATACCTGGGAGAAATTTTGATTACCACATATTTTATACCTCGGACGTTGAACACCATTTCCATCGGTGCTGACGCAGTTTTTTCTTCTAATCAGGAAGCGTACTCAGATTGCATTTCAATTACACAGAATCTCATAAGAATTACCAAGTGTTCCAGCAGCCACGGTCAGAAGGTTTCATCAAGAATAGTGTCCCCCTTACCCGAACATTTGTCTAACTGATTCCAGTATCCCCTTGCGACATTTCTGGGCCACAAGCGACTCCGTTGTTTGTAGCATTGGTGTAAGGCATCTATTTTGCAATTTTCCAAGCTTGATATTCAATGGTCCCCCAATGCATGTTCCCGCAAATTACTTCCAGTAACTTGGTGTATTCCCAGATACCCTTTTGTGTTAATCCATACCTATCAAAATTAACTCATGCATTGCTCGCTTTTCAGGGTCCTCAGACCGTCAAAATAGAGCTGTTGTTCAGAAACCGTACAAAATTCATGTGCATCGACATTCCCGTTCAAATCGCATAAACGGCATAAAAGTTTGTGACAGAATCATTGCTCCGGAAGAAAATTCCACGGTAAACTCCGTGACATTATCTCCTTTTCTTGACATTCTCTGTCCGAGGGCTCAGAAAAACCGATAAACCAAACTGCCACTGTTTATAGCAATATTTGGAGTGCAGAAACAAAGAAACGTGTGAATAACAGGAACTTCGAACTATGAAAGTTGCTTTATGCCAGAAACCCTAGTAGAGGCATATAAACAACAAGTAAAGTTGCCGATTATCACGAAGGTCCAAAATAACACAAAATCTGTGTCCCAGGGTAACATGAGAATTGAATTTAAAAACATATGCCTCACAGGCCTCCTTCGGAGATAAGGGGCTTCGTAATTTTATTTGTTGAATGTCGGTTGAATGAAGGAACAAGACAAACACCAGAGGACTGATTGTTTTTTGTTCACGAAGTTGAACCTCTTGGTATATGCCTTCACAGGTGTAATGTTCTCGCTTCGAGTTCGGGTCAACATTTCACCGTGTCTCTTGAGTTAATCGCTTGTAACGACGCTGTAATGTTCATTTTGAGCCTATCAATGGAACGTCTACATGATTTAACACGCAGTTGATTGAGGGCAGGAAATAAATGGAAAATCGATAGATTAAATTAATGAGGTTGTAAGAAAAATAGGTTATATTCTAAGTACAAACTAGTAGTTACCTAAACAAGAGACAGATCTGTTTGGTCGAAGCAATAACGGTTGATTGCGCCCAAAATTCTAGGTGCGGTTCTGACCATTCCATTCTATCTTGACTAGTACTTAAAGACGTCTTTCAATTCAGCTCAGGTTGAAGGGACCAGCACGAAAACTTGTTTTAGCCATAACCGCACCGCTTTCATTACGGCCACCACATCTCATTTTTCGCTTAAAACGACGTGGCGGGTGTGTAAGACCTGAATTTATAAAGAGACACTGTTTTGAAATAGTATCGTTCTTTTACTTCATTCCAGCAGCTTCATTCCATACACCAGTACAGTGCTTTTCTATATACCAGCGAACCAAAGCACAGCGGTTGTGCACAAAGGATAGGAATATGTCATCAGAGACAAACGTCTGCGGCAGCGACCTACTTAATTGGTATTCTCAGTTTGTCTAACATGGCAGGAGGTTTAAGAACTGCCAACTGGAAGCTGTGCTGTGATGGAGATCATTTATGGAATATGTTATGTAACTACGCCTGACACTATCAGTGACCAGTGGTTCGTTCCCCTCGAAGACTTTAGTCCACGGGAGCGTGGTTACCTGGTAACCTGTCAAATCCTGTTGACAAGTTATTCAGTGACTAGCTGTGAGTCACCTACGTCTAACAAGCAACTGGCTTAGGAAGGTTCTGCGAGGTAAACGGCCCTCTGACAACAATATATGAAGCAATAGCACTGAAACTGAAATATCTAGCAACCGAACAATTAGAGATGGAAATTATTTGAAACAAATTCCAACCAGATTTCGGTAGAATATGGTGGATTCTGAGGAAGCTGAAAAAACGCGACAAAGTAGGTAATCGCATTCACTGGAAGAGCAAGCATCCGATTCCGTAAGAATTTCGTGAAAAAAACGGGTAGCTGCTCAATTTCCTGGCTTAACGTCATGCAGAACTACGTTAAACCGTGTTATGAAGGACATTTATTTCATGCTTTTGCGCTCAGATGGGCAATATTTCATTGGTGACCTTTAGAACATCTGATACGGTGCATCTGTGCTACCTTCACCGCGGCAAAAATACATGTTTCGTTCCGACAGGTGTTCGAACGCGAGCGCGTCCCAAATTTGCGGTCGAAGAAAGCGCGCTGCAGACTTGTGGGATATAAAGGAACATGCAAGATCATGCATTCTTTTCTGTTGGGCAACCTACCGTCAGGTGAAATTGTAAAACCGCAGTCAAAATTGACAGATGTCCACTGTCCAACCGTTAGGCCTTGCCTGAAATTGGTATGTTCCCTGCAAACTGAAAAACTACCAGCCACGTTGATCTCTCGTTCACATCTACCGCAATTAAACTGTGCCATTTCGGACTTGAACTCACCTGTGTCGGAATTAGCTGATTTGTTACATGACTGCTCCCTGATGGGTACCCAAAAAAGCTCTGATCTTTTCTATACCCCTCCTTTACCATCAAGATAATAGCAAAAATATTGCTATTATCGCTTATCGAATCACGTAAAAGCATGATGGGGAGATTGTGTGAGCTATGAGTAAACAGTGGAATACGTTTGGTGAGCTGGAGGCTACACCGGTGTTGATGGAATTGCGCAATTTATGGCAAAGTGTGAAGCTAAAAGTGGTCAAGCCTCCACTAACTAGATATTTTAGTGAAACTGCCTCTAAAACACACAGGACCAATGTCTAAAATTTCACATGGATAGCGGCAGCGAAGGGTCCTGTTGGGTGCGTTTCACACATTTCCGAATGCTAGTCTGCAAATTTGGGTGCATTTTGTGCGAAATATAGGACGGATGCGGTGACTTATGGAACGCATTGTTGCGAACTATCGTAAGCGCGTCAACTAGGGGTAATACCCGTAACAAAACATCCAAAGCTTTGGAAATAAGATTCTTGGTCAGAAGTGTTTGTCCAGCGAGTAAGAGACGCCGTTCTCATGGACGTATCGATATGTGAGTCTTGGGCACAAAGAGAGAGGCGTCGTCTGCAGACAGAACGGCGCCGAGGACGTTGTTCTCATTAAAAAGCAACAAAATGGGTCCTGGAATGCTCCTTTTGATATTTCAATAGGTATCTTTATTGAACATTGCCCTTCGTGGCTTCTTTGTGTATTTGTATTTTATATGACGGGCAGGAGTTGAGCGACCGAATAAGCGGCGTACCGATACCAAAGGGAGTTTCCTTTTGCAGCGAAAACGCATCAAGTCCTGTCTAAAATCTACCTCGGTATGCGGTTAAACTTACATTGAGATTTCTGTTGCAATGGGACTCTAGGGCTAATGAAACCCCAA